AAAGAATTTATTTCGGCAGCTGAATTATTTTTGGACAATTATAGTAATTAAAAAGAATTTATGTGAGGGAAAAATCATTTTTAGGAAAATTATAATAATTTAAAAGGAATTATTTTGGAAAAAGAATTATTTTAGAATAATTATAATAATTTTTAGAAATTATTTTGTGGAAGAAATCATTTTAGAATGACATATTTTTAAAATATAGTGAGAAAATAACTTATTTTGAAAAAGGGATTATTTTGAAAGAACTCATTTTGCAAAAGGATTATTTTGAAGTAAATAAATTTATTATTTCAGAATATTATTTTAGAACAATTTTATGATTCAAATTCTTAGTCTTGATTATCTGATATGCTATGATACTATTGTACATGATTAGTTGCATTGATTGTTCCTTGTTGTGATTGAGAACCGTTAGGAGTTTATGACTATAGTGACCTGTGTGACATGAATAAGACCTAAAGACATGTGTTGTGTTGACTTAGAAAAACGAGAAGAGTTGGGATGGGGAAGTTAATGTTCATGTGATCGGATATAGCTGTTGATGTATCTAGAAAAACGAGAAGAGTTGGGATGGGGAAGTTAATGTTCATGTGCTTGGATGTGACTGTTGATGTATCTTCCAGCCCGCGCCGGTGAATTCGTGTAGTCACTGGGGTTGGTTTGATGGGCTAAAGTGAATTCGTGTAGTCACTTTAGTCAGTGAATTTGTGTAGTCACCCGAGTTCTGCTTGAGTTCGGACCAGGCCGAAATCGGATTGCGTGTAGTCCTCTGACCGATTCGTGTAGCGGTATTGGATGCACGTAGGGGATTTGTGAACAGCCAGTTATCCGATGATATGAGCGTTGGCTTTGTATTGTCTGATCAGAATAAAGTTTTCAGTTAAGACACTCTGTTACATTATGTTTGGTTTTGACCTCACTAAGGAGGACCAGTTGAAAATAGACATGTACTGATCACATTGCATGTAATTTTCATGCTGCACATCCATGATTGATCTATGTCGTTTGATTGTATTGGTATATGTGACCATTGATGGGTCGAGTCACGATAAATGTGACGAAGGCCGCTTTGATCCTATATTGATATAGTCAATGGACGAGATTGTTCGGAAATACCTTTTCAGTGATAGCAATTTTTGAGCTCATAAGGTTATACACAATTTAAGGAATCATATGGTGCCCAAGTGGGAGATTGTTGGATTTAATCTAATAAATCTATTTGTGGGCACATATGATTAATCAATGTGTATTGCTATCTTTCAGGATAACCCACTAAAGTGATCAATTAAGTTGGGTTAATTTGGTATTTAAATGATCATGGGGTCATATGTGCAGATACCAGGTTGTAATTGTAATTTATTGAGGGGCTAAATTACAAAAGTACAACATCTATAAATAAGGGGTTATGGTCCCTAACCTAGGGTTACATTCTCTAATTCTCTACACCCCCATCTAGCTAGAGAAATTCGGATTTAGAGAAACCCTAAGGTTAGAAGATCCAAAACCCATCTCAAGGTTCATCCATGGATTCAGGTATAAGCTTCCGCTCTTTTGATTTTGTTAATCTCTTTGAATTAATCATGGCTATATGGTTTTAGATCTCAAGTTTTATGATGTAGATCTAACAAGTGGTATCAGAGCCACCTTGATTAATTCTTAGGGATTTAAGTTTTATTGGGTTTTTGATCTTAAATCTCTGGTTAAAGATTCAATTTTTGGGTTCGGATGAACAGTAATGTTCTCGGATGAACAGTAACGAATTTTTTTTTCGGATGAACAGTAAAGTATTTTTTTCGGGTGAACAGTAACTTTTGGGAATTTTTTGGATTTTTCTTTGATTTTTCCTTCAATTTTTTCCAATTCTGGATCTGTTTTGAAAATAAAAATCAAAGGTTTTTTGGGTTTGTCGGCGGCGGTTTCAATTTGAAACCCTAAGGGTTCATGGCGAAAATTAAGGAGGTGGTTACCTCAAACGAACCTCGCGTTCGTTCAATTTTAACCGAGCTTCGCGCTCAACGAACCTCGCGTTCGTTCTAAGGTGAACCTCGCGTTCAACTCAGGTGAGCGTCAAGCTCAATTTTAACGAACCTCGCGTTCGTTCTAAGGTGAACCTCGCGTTCAACTCAGGTGAGCGTCAAGCTCAATTTTTTTAACGAACCTCGCGTTCGTTCTTCAGACGAACCTCGCGTTCGTACTTCAGACGAACCTCGCGTTCGTACTTCAGACGAACCTCGCGTTCGTACTTCAGACGAACCTCGCGTTCGTACTTCAGACGAACCTCGCGTTCGTACTTCAGACGAACCTCGCGTTCGTACTTCAGACGAACCTCGCGTTCGTACTTCAGACGAACCTCGCGTTCGTGCTTCAGTCGAGCCTCGCGTTCGAACTTCAGACGAACCTCGCGTTCGTACTTCAGACGAACCTCGCGTTCGTACTTCAGTCGAACCTCGCGTTCATTTTTTAAACGAACCTCGCGTTCGTTCCCAAGTTGAACCTCGCGTTCTTTTATCAAACGAACCTCGCGTTCGTTCATTTTCAGACGAACCTCGCGTTCGTGCTTAAGTGAGTCTCGTACTCAATACAGTCGAACCTCGCGTTCGAAGTTAAGGGAACTTCGTGTTCATTATGGTTAAGCCTCGGCTTTTCATGGGTCCACTTTGGTATACTTAATTTATTCAATTAAGTTATGGGCCCTAATTAAGCTGTGAGACCCCAATTAAGTTTTTGGAAATTCAGTTGATTTAAATTAAAACTTTTTAATTTAAATCTAATTTGGTTTTTAATCAATTATTTAATTCAAATATTATGACACTAAGGTATTAAGGTTGTCTCTCACTCCAATTGATTAATTGAAACAAGAAGTTGCCAAAGTAACCTCTCTTGTGTAGATTGTTCATGAGGAATGTGAGATGTTTGTGTGTATGCTTTCGTGTAAATATTTAATCGGCCCAAAGGAAGGTTAATATTTATTTAGACTGTATACACATCTGCGATGATAAGCGTGTGACAATTATAAGGTTTACATGTGAATAATGAATCGATCCAAAGATAGTTTCATTATTTGACATGAGTTATTGTCAATGTTTGATCATTGCAACAAGGTATCACTTACAAGTTAATATTACTGTCCAAAGACTTGATATTAATGTTGTGCCGGTATCTTGGATGGGGATTGTCATTATTTGAATTTTATTGATTATGGTTATTGATGTGAGCATTTTTGTTTTATTTCAGCTAATGCATCTGCTGCAACAATTTCTGCTAACATCAACTCAATTCCCATGCTAAATGGGACAAACTTCAAGGTTTGGAAAGAGAACATATTAATTGTTCTTGGCTGCATGGATCTTGACTATGCATTAAGAACTGAACAACCCCAACCTCTCAATGCGGATAGCACTCCTGATGCAAAGAAGGAGCATGAGAAGTGGGAGCGTTCAAATCGCATGAGTCTTATGATCATTAAGCGCGGCGTTCCGGAAGCCTTCAGGGGCATAGAATCCGAAGGGATTACTAAGGCTAAAGATTTCCTTGCCGAAATTGAGAAGCGTTTTGCGAAAAACGATAAGGTAGAAACAAGCACGCTTTTAGCTCGCTTGATTTCAATGAAGTATAAGGGCAAAGGAAATATCAGGGAGTACATTATGGAAATGTCTCATATTGCTTCAAAGCTTAAGGCACTTAAACTCGATCTTTGTGACGAGTTATTAGTGCATCTGGTTTTGTTGTCTCTTCCTGCACAGTTTAACCAATTTAAGGTCAGTTATAACTGTCAAAAGGAGAAATGGACTCTAAATGAGCTCATTTCATACTGTGTGCAAGAAGAAGACAGGTTGAAGCAAGATAAGACAGAAAGTGCTCATTTGGCCTATGCCTCTAAGGATAAGGGCAAGAAAAGGAAGAATGATAAGGA